TGTTAATTGGTTTCCCTTTTCTTTGTTGAAGAGGGTCTGTGCAATCCTTCTGCCTAGTCCACCATCTTGCCCCGCCTCCCTATGTGCTTCTTATTTTTGTATTTTCTTAATGGTGCCTTTTGAAGAAGAAAAAGTTTTAAGTTTGTTGAAGTCCAGATTTTCTTCTATGGATCGTGCTTTTGATACCGTGTCTAAGAAACCGCCCCCCCACCCCAGGGTCACAAAGATCTTTTATAGTCCTGCCGTCTTAGCTCTTACACTTAGCTCTTTTAATCGTTCTGACTTAGTTTTTGTTATGGTGTGAGGTAGGGGTTCTGGCCCATTGGTTTGCATGTGGAGGTCCAGTTGTCCTGCCACCACCACTGTCGCTTCTCCTTGGAACCGCCTCAGTGCCTTTGTTGAGAATGTACAGACCATCATGTGAGGGTTTATTTTGAACCCTATTCTGTGCCATAGATCCCCTTGTTTATCCTTAAGCTATCACCACACACTCAATTTATGATGGCTATGTCGTAAGATTCAAAATCAAGAAATGTACTTTGTTCTTTTTCTAAGTTCTTTTGGTTAGTCTAGATCTTTGTGTCCCTATATAAAACAACCAGCCAGGATTTCCATAAGGGATTGTGTCAAATCTGTACAGCAATTTGGGGGACCTGGGAGTGAGCGTTAGGTGGCTTGTACGCCATTTTTTGAACCAGTTTCTGTTTTGTCCTGTTTTCTGGGAAGTGTGAGAAAGCTGTAAGCCCCTCCCTAGGAAGGTGTGCTTGTGCGCACACGTTTCAGATTCCCATCCGCGGATCCTCCCACGTCCCACCTGGCGTCTGCCCAGGCACAGTGTTGCCAGACTGGCCTTCCTGTGTGCTCCTTCTCGTTACGGCTGGAGGAGACCCTGCAGTGACGTGGCCAGAGGGCCATGATGGGCTCTTGGGAGTGTGTGGTGTGATTCCATATATGAGCACACCCATCTCACAGAGAGAAATGGAAGAGGTAGAAGGTGGGGTCGGCATTGGTTCTCTGTGGAGCTGGAGGGTGGGTTTAATTTTCTTGTTTATGCTTGTCTGTGTTTCCCAAATTTTCAGAGACCTTCCACGCATCAGAAAACAATTAGATGTTAAGAAAATGACAGGTGTATTTAAAAAATCTGGTGGTGTAGAGGGTAAGCCATTTGGCTGCCAACCAGAATGTTGGCAGATCAAACCCACCAGCTGCTCCGTGGGAGGAAGTCGAGGCAGCTTGCTTCTGTAAAGTTTTACAGCCTTGGAAACCCGGTGGGGGTCGCTGTGAGTCGGAATGTCTTGGCGGCAGTGGGTTTGGTGTTTTTGGCTTAGACAGCATCCTCTGGGGAAATCTGAATGCCATCAATGAAACCACAGTAGAGAAAACCGGCTCAGGAGGCATCGATTTTAACAAAAAAAGGCATCAGTTTGGTCGGGACAGCTGGTTTCTTGGGTTTTCTACTGTTTGTTTTCTGCGTAAAGGAGTCTTCTCACAGGCCCACTGCCTTCCTCTAGACCCGCTTCTCCAAGGCCTGGCCGGGTGGACGGAGCGTGTCCGCCACACACAGCTTCACCACGCTGTTGGTGGTTTCCCTTTCTGCAGGAGGTCACAGGGCCCAAGGGCTCCCGTGCCATCAACAACCTTCGAAGATCTAATAGTGCCACACAAGTCAACCAGCCACAAGTCAACCAGCCATGGGCCGGCGCTCTCAGGTAACCCAGGGACCCTCAGGTGGCTCTGAGCCCCCCAGGTAACTCCTGACCCCTCAGGTAACCCTGGGCCCCCTCAGGTAACCCCAGGCCCCATCAGGTAAGCCTCTGACCCCTCAGGTAGCCCTTGGCCCCCTCAGGTAGCTCCCAGCCTCTCAGGTAGCCCTTGGCCCCTCAGATAACCCCCTGCCCCCTTAGGTAGCTCCCAGCCCCTCAGGTAACCCCCTGGCCCCCTCAGGTGAGGCAGGTGGTCTTGCTTCCACTCAGTTTCAGAGGACGGGCCGAGGCTTGTCCTGGGTCTGTGCGCAGTGGTCAGTGGGTCTGGGTCAGGCGTCCAGCTGGGCTTTGTCTTCTGCTCTGAGCTGTCAGGCCTGTGGCCCCTTGTCAAGGGGGGCAGGGGGGCAGGGGCAGCAGGCAACCCCCGTTTGAGGCTCTTGGTCCCCAGTATCTGGTCAGTGAGCCTCTGGGGACAAGTGCCCAGACCCCCAGCCCCTGGTTCCCCAGGGACCTTGTGGGGCACAACTGTCGGCTGGGCTCAGAGCTGACTCCTCAGGCTAATACTCTCTCCTGTTTGCTGGCTTCTTTGGGCTCAGGGCGGCGGAGCCCCCTGATTTCCTGGCACTCTTTGAGAGCAGCACCACGGGGAGAAAGCAGACGGCCAACCTGGGCCGCGCGCCCTGCGAGAAGGCAGCCACGTGGCACGTGCTGGTAAGGCCTGGAGGCCGAGCTGAGCCAGCGGGTGCAGGGTTGAGTCCGCTATCAACCTGCTTCTGGAATGGGGGTGAGGCTGGGGCCACGTCAGCGAGTTTGGGCGACACTCTGATGTGACGTTGTCACTACACGGGCAGTGTCAGGAGGGTGACAGGCTTCAGGCCCCCAGGGCCCTCCCAGTGGTGTGGAAAGCTGGATGCCCGTCCAGCAAGGAAGGGGGGACCCGCCCCACGTGGTGACGTGTGCAGCAGGGCCACGGGCTGAGGGCCATCACATGTGCACAGGACGACCAGCCCCGAGAGCCTGCCTTGCCGCCTGGCACCCCCGACCCACCAGCCGGCCTGCGGAGGAGAGAGTGCTCCGTGAGCCTGGCTCCCAACTTCACTGCCAACAACAGGTGGGCTGGGGTCCAGGGCCAGACTGTTTGCCCGGCTTATGGCCGGCCAGGGCACTTGGAATGAATGAATGAATGAGTGGATGCGTGGGGAGTGCCTAGGTGGTGTTTGGCACAGAGACCCCACTGCAGCTTGAGGATGGATGGGCTCTACTTGGGGGCTCAGGTGGTACCCCCCAACCAGACCTCACCTCACCACCACCCCGACCTTTCCCTCCAAAGGCCTGGGTTCTGTGTTTTTGGTCTTGGAGTTTCAGGCTTGGGGAGGCTTGTGTGGGACGCGGGTGACTTTGGAGGTTCACGGAGGTTCTGGAGGTTCCAGACCCAGCTGTCACGTCTCTGGAGGGAGGTGGCACTCGGGTCCTCAGCTGCTCAGGGCTCTGCTGGAGGCGCTGCATCAGGGCTGCGTGGGCAGAGCCCGGAGCCGGCTCACCCAGGACCCGGCCGAGGCATGTGTGGTCAGGGAGGCATGTGTGGCCCGGCCGTTGACCGGGGTGGTGTCAGCGTGGTCGGAGGGGCCTGTAGGGCCTGGCAGAAGCTGACTCAGCCCCGCCACGAGCACCCCTGTCCTGCTCCAGGACGTGGGAGACCAGGCGGAGAAGGGGAGAGGCCACCCCTGGCCCTTCAGGAAGGACTTAGCGGAAGGCCCTCTAGGAAGGAGAGCTGCAATCACAGGCCTAGGCCTGAGGGGAGACCACACTAGCGCTTGCCAGGGTGGGCCCAGGAGGAGCTCTGCTTTTAGTGTGAGACTTTAAAGGAAATCTGATTTGTTTTTATCGAGTGACACAGCACGTGGTTAAGTCAAAGCGCAAGAGGATGAGGGGGGTAAACGCTGCCCCGCCCCACCCCTCCTCCCAGGAGCAGCCGTTTCTTAGCCATGCCACCCAGCACCCATCCCGGGGTGGCTCAGGGTGCAGGGCCGCCCCTCAAAGCTTGTCCCTTCCGGCAGGAGTAACAAGGGAGCCGTGGGCAACTGTGTCACCGCCATGGTGCACAACCACTGCCCGCCTGCTGAGAAGACGCCTCCGCCCAAGAGCTCCAACCAGACGGTCCCCTGCCTCAAGTAAGGCCCCCACCGCTGCCCAGGGGGTCTGACCAGGGCCCGACGTCTGTGTGTGCCAACCCACGGTGCTGCCCCTCCTGTGCTGGGCTGGGGGCTTCTCCAGGGAGAGAAAACCGACCAGGGTTGGGGATGGTCAGCGAGAGCTGAGTGGGGGTCATGGTCTGAGCGCCGGGGCTGCTGGCTGAGTCCTGAGCTGGGAGGGGCTGCGGGGTGTGGGGGTTGACCGCCCCGAGGACAGGAAGGATGTCCTGTCTACCACGCTGGGGTGTCGAGGGGTTGCCCACGCAGGCTCCCAAGTCACGGTCCTGCTCTGGAATCCTGCGAATGTGGGGACTGCTGGCATTTTCAAGTTTGACGAGCTCCTCTGCCTTGGGTGCCCCAGATGGTACCTGTCAGGGGTCAGTGGCCCTGGGGCCCACAGATGACAGTGGGCTGACCTGCACAGCTCACGCCAAGTGTGCTCTTCCCTGGTGCCACCTCAAATTCAGGGCAGCTTGGACAAGCCTGATAGTTCGTGAGGTGGTGAGGTGGGGCTCAGCGAGGGTGACCCGTGTCCGCCCTTGCCTGCCAGCAACATCATCAAGGCCGCCGCTGACGAAGTCCCTGAGGGTGACAGCTCTGGGAAGCCACAGAAGAACGTCCGCAGCAGCTGCCGGAGCAACACTGGGGGTGTGCTCAGGACGAAGGAGGTGACGGAGGAGGAGGCTGAGAGGTGACCGCAGGCGCTGGGGGAGGGCACACTGGGGCGCCGAGAGCTGGAGTCCAGAGCACAGGGCAGGGGCGGGAGGAGGGGCCCAAGGCCACGGTGACACCGAAAACATCGGTAGCTGGTGAATGGATTCTGACTCAGTGCCTACGTCCGTCATAGACCTGGGCTCTGTGGGCGCCCAGCGGCTGAGTGTGGAGAAGTAGTTTTACACAAATAACACGTTTCATGGTTTATCTGCAAAGCACGCAGCCCTCCTGGGTGAGTCTACCGCGTGGGCCGTGCATGTTACACGCGTGTACGTTAGCTACATGGGTGCATCATGTGCAGAACTGTGGCGTTTGACAGCCTTTCCCTCCAAGTGCCTCTCTGGGGACTTGCACCTCCAACCTTCTGGTTAGCAGCTGAAATTGCTCACTGTGTGCACCACCAGGCAGTCCAGGCCAGAAAAGTACCACGTGGTCCCTCTTTGTCCCCCAGTGGCACCCACTGCGGGGCCGCCGCACCTTCTCTCGCTGTAGGCGTCGGGGCACCTCCCGCTGGGGGATCCTGAGTACAGCCTGTGAGCACTGTGGGAGCACGGTGCTCTCCTCCCCCGGGGGACCCCTGGTGCCAGTCTCCGCTCCCAGTGGCTTCTGGTGGTCGGCACTGTGCGGCTGCTGTCGCCGGGCCGTGGCGCTGAGCCCGCTGCCCTGCAGGTTCATTCACCAGGTGAACCAGGCTGCCGTCACCATCCAGTCCTGGTACCGCCGCCAGGTGCAGCAGCGCAGAGCACGAGCGGCCGGCCTGGAGCTCCTGCTGGCGTCCAAGCGAGAGGTCAGCACGGGCCCAGCCCAGGCTTGGCTTGGGGCTGGGGGCCTCGGAACCCCGAGCTCTGAGCCGTGTGCAGGCGGAAGCCCCACTTCCCGTCTGGGGGCCTGGAGCCTGCTCGGCCAGGCAGCGGCCCTCGCCGGGGCTCTGTCAGGCCCTGGATGTTGTGGGGGTCCCAGTGGGGTCGGCCCCCCAGTGGACTGGACAGGCTCCGGGCATTGTCTGGGGCCAGGGCTCTGTCCTCGAGGCCGGAACCTGCTGTGGCTCGGCTGTTTGTGCAGGAGCGGCGGCGGCAGGCCCCGGGGAGCATTCTGGGCCTGTCCCAGCAGAAGGTGGAGGCGAGGAGGAGAACCCGAGAGGAGAAGGCACGCCAGGCCAGGCGGGCGGCTGTTCAGGTGCTGGGCCTGCAGGTCCCCGGGGCGCCCCGTCCCTCCTTCCCTGGAAGCCCTGCTGCTGCCTTGGGCGGCTGCTCAGAGACGCCTCCCCCAGGAGCTGCAGCAAAGACGGGCCCAGAAGTCTGCCGAGGCTGAGGCCGGGCCACCTCAGGAGCCCCGAGGGATGGGGAGGCCCAGGCCTGCCCGGGAGCAGCCCCTGACACCCCAGACCGTGGCCCCTCACGCACCCAAGGCCAACAACACGAGTGAGCATGGCCTCCACGCCCACTCCCTTCAGAGTTCCTCTTGCCCTCCGCCACCCGGCTTCCGAGGGAGGACCTGCCCTGTGCCCTGCACCGAGTGCCCCACTCTTCAGCAGACCCTCAGCCCCTCCTCCTAACCTGCCCCTTACTCTGGAGCTGGGTGGGACCCTCAGAGCCAACATCCCCCAACTTCATGCCCCAGGAGACACCTCCTGCTGACCCTGGCTCGTCCCCAGGGGCCCAGTGCTGCCCTCGGGAGGGGGTGTCCTCTGAGCAGCCCCTCAGTTATGACTCTGTGTCGCGTCGTGCAGCGCCCCGCTCCCACGCTGCCGGCCTCGAGCAACCCGGCCCACCGGCTCGTGACCCGCCTCCTCGAGACCCGCCTCCTCGAGACCCGCCTCCGGAGCCCTGTTCCTCTCCAGAAGTGACCCTACAGGTCTCACAGCAGCCCCTCCCTTCCCCCAACTTGAGGTCCAAGGCACGTGTGTTTTGGGGAAGCCTAGAGTTCACCCCGCCCAGCTCCCAGTGCCGGGTCACTCAGGCTGAGCAGCTGCCCAGCCGGCCTGCTCTGGGGCATGGTGCTGCTGCCCGGGCCCCCCAGAGTCACCTCGATCCCAGTCCAGGGATCCCCTAATCCAAGGGCACCGATTCTCAGACCCCACACCCTTCCTGCAGGGTGCTCAATGTGCTCCTGGTGGGGAGAGGGCCTGAGTCTAGGGGCCCAGTTCACATGGCCCCAGAACACAGACGGGTCCAGAGCAAGGGCCGGCCACTGCCCGGCTCCCGGCCTCATCTGCAGGTCTGCTCGTGCAGGGATGGCCTCACTGGCTGTCTGCTGCTCCTGCAGGAAGCCCACACCCAGGACGTGGCCAGCAAGGACCCGGGGACGAGCGGCCCCACCAGGACTGGTGTCACCTTTGATGAGCTGCTGGACACGCTGCGGCTGCTGGAGGCAGAACCCGATCCGCTGCCCCGGCCGCCAGCCTATCACCAGGAGAAGTACGCGTGGATAGACGAGGTGTGAGCTCGGACCACAGGGCCGCCCCCGCCGCCTCTGCTGGCCGTTCCCCTGCCCGGCTCTCCCGTCCGAAGGCTCCCTCCGGCTTGGACATTCAGAGGGACTCCAGGGGGGGCCTGGCCGCTGGGGTGGGACGGGCAGTGCAGTAAGGGTCTGGCGGTGGAGAGGCTCTCCTTGCCCCGGGGACCCCTGGGGGCAGTTACCAGGACAGCCTGGGTGTTGCTGTCCCCCCCCCAGGAGGATGCCGCCAGCTCCCTGACGGCGGACAACCTGGAGAGGCTCGGACAGCTCGGTGCAGCTGCCGGCCCCCCCGACGACGGGACGCTGCTCTCGGAGGCCAAGCTGCATAGCATCCTGAGTTTCCTGGACGAGATGGAGCTGTCGGCAAGGGGGCGGCCAGCCGCAGGCCCCCAGCAGGAGGTGCCAGCTGGCGGGTGGGCCCTCTCACGCGTCCCCTCAGCCCACATGCCACAGGAGACTGCTGGCAGGGTGGGCACCCCGAGAAGCCCACTATGTGGGCAGAGGTTTGGTGTCCAGCTGTCAGAGGCCAGTGTGACCTTGCTGGTCACTGCCTTTGACCTCAGTCAGCCGGCGCCCCTCAGTGAGTAATAACCCTGCTGTTTGGCCTCATCACCCCGCCCCTCCCCGGCCTCGCCCAGGGTGCCCCTCCCCAGCCTCGCCCAGGGGGTCCCTGTGAGGTGTGGGTGAGGAGGAAGAGAACGGACACCCATGAGGGGCAGGAGGAGAGTCTCAAGCCCCGGGCTCTGGCTGTCCCAGGGGCCCAGCTCCAGGGGCCCTGGGCGGGGTTCTGCCTGACGTGTGGTCCCTGCAGGGGCTGGTGCTGGGGGCAGAGCCGGCCGGCCTCGAGCGTGCGTCCACGGGCACCACAGCCGTGATGCGGCTGCGGCTGGAGGTGGAGGAGAAGCGGCAGGCCCTGACTCTGCTGCAGCGCGCGCTGGTAGGAGGGTGCTCCTGGCACGGTGGGCTCCCCCACACGCGCCCTTCGCCAGCTGGGCTCCTGGCTGAGAGTGTTGTCCTTTGGTCCGGCGGGCAGTGCTGGGGCGGGGGGGAGTCATGCAACAAGGGGGTCCGTCCTCTGCCCTGAGGGGCTATCATCCCTGTCTGCCCCTGTGGCCCTGACCTTCAGAGGGTCATTGCGTGGGGACTGACTGAGCTGGTCCTTGACAGAGGACACAGGCCTGGCTGCTGGGGCCGCAGGGGCTCAGAGCTGCCCCTTCCCTCTCGGGCGCCCAGGTGGTCAGCCAGCCTGGGCTGTGTGTGAGGAGGTGCCTGCCCCCGAAGACCCCAGCACCGCCCCCCGCAGACCGCCCTCCCCACAGACCACCCCCCGCAGACCGCCCTCCCTGCAGACCGCCCCCCGCAGACCGCCCTCCCCACAGACCGCCCCCCACAGACCCCAGCACCACCCCGCGCAGGCGCAGCAGCGGGCCCTCATGATGCGGCGGGTCAAGGAGGCAGAGAAGGAGTTGAGGCAGCAGCTGCGGCGGCAGCGGGAGCACTACGAAGCCACCATCCAGCGGCACCTGGCCTTCATCGACCAGGTGAGCCCCGGCCCCGAGAAGGTGGATGAGGGGCTCCAGAGCCTGCCAGGGTCCGCCAGGTGCGCTCAGCTGTGGGCACCGACCCCACCAGGCCTCTCTGACATCCCCGGGCCAGGCCCTCTCAGGACTGCCTCCTCCGGGATGCTGAGTACCAGAGAGGGTACGGGGCTGTGTGTGCCCCTCCTCCCGCCCCCCACTCACCTGTACCTGCCACCATTCCCCACCCAGGGTTCAGCCACAGACCAGCAGGAGCCCAGGGTCACGGCCAGGCCCTCGTGGGGTGCTGGCCCCTCAGCAGCCTGAAGCCGGGGTCCCCAGCAGTGGGGGTCTCGTTGCAGGGTTCCTCTTCTTAGCCTAGTGGCTTCACCCCTGCCTCCTGTTCACAGCTTATCGAGGACAAGAAGGCCTTGGGGGAGAAGTGTGAAGCGGTGGTGGCCGAGCTGCGACAGGGGGACCACAGGTGGCAGGAGAAGGCTGCCCAGATGCAGGCGCAGCACGAGCTGGTGAGCCCCCCGCCCGGCTCTGCCCGGCCCGCCCTGTGCTGCCCGCTCGGGCATCGCCCTGCTCCTCTCGGCATCGACCAGTTAGGGACCCCCCTCCTCCTGTTTTGTGGGGAGACTGACCCAAAGGCCCACTTTCCCGTATACCCGACAAGCCCACCCTAGACCCCAGGACCAGGACCCAGCATTCCCAAAGAACCCAGGGACTGTGGTGCAGGGCTGGGCTTGAGGGCAGCTGGCCCCTGTGGGCAGCAGGACTCCCTACAGAGGCACAGCCTTTCATCCAGTGCAGGGGCCCCGGGCCCTGTACTGCCTCCAGGACTCACTGTGTGGCACGTGTGTCCTGGGGGCAGCTGCATGTCGGGGACCCTGAGAGCTCTTGGGGACTTTGCTAAGCAGGACCCCGAGAGTGCTCTCGCCACTGTTGCTGGGTGGGACCCCAAGCGCTCTCAGGGACTCTGCGAGGCAGGACTTTGCTAGGTGGGGCAGGATGTTGCTGGGTGGAACCCCGATGTTGGTAGGTGGCCCTGAAAGCCCAGCGTTTCACAATGGACGGTCGTGGAGTCGTGGAGGGTGGTGTTTTTGCCTCGTTGGCCAGCTCCCTGAGTCTGCTCTGTTTGTCTGTTTTCCTGCTCCCAGGAGCTCAAGAAGCTCAAAGAGCTGATGGGCGCAACCGAGAAGGTCCGTCGGGAGAAGTGGATCAACGAGAAGACCCGGAGGATCAAGGAGATGACGGTCAAGGGTAGGGCTGGCCGGCGGCAGCTGAGGGGGGGGCACCACCGTCAGCGACACTCAGAGCAGAGGAAACAGGCACACATCATCAGTGACACATGGGACAGGGGACATGCCGTCAGTGACACTCGGGGCCTGGGAAACGGGCACATGCCATCAGTGACACACACAGGACGGGATGTGCAGTGAGTGACACGCGGGGCAGAGGGCGTGGTGTCAGTAACACGCAGAGCAGAGGGCGTGCCGTCAGTGACACTCGGGGCCTAGGAAATGGGCACATGCCATCAGCGACACACGCAGGATGGGACATGGCATCAGTGACACGCAGAGCGGAGGGTGCGGCGTCGGTAACATGCAGGGCAGAGGAAACGGGCACACGCCGTCGGTGACACACATGGGGCAGTGCGGTGTGAGAAGACCCTGTCCCTCCGCGAGGGGCGGCCTCTCCTGGCCCTGGCCCTGTACAGCCTCCCTCATGGTCAGTAAATCCTGGCCAGGTGGCCCCGCAGGGTGGCAACAGTCAGTTTCCCAGGTGTGTCTGGTCACAGACGAGCATCCAGAGTGTGGGTCCAGTTCAGGGAGGGAGTGGGGGGCTGGGAGGCTTGGCCACAGGCAGTATGGGGTCGACCTTGAGTTCCTGAGGTTCCAGGGAATAGTGATCTGGGTGGAGCTCAGGGGACGCTGGGCAGGTCTCCGGGGGCAATGTCACTGCCCTCCCTGCCTTAGAGAAGGCTCAGGTCCAGGGTCTGAGAACACAGTGCCCTGCCTGCCCCTGGGCACCTGTGTCTTCAGTGACTCTCCTGGGAGGGGAAGCCTGGTGTTGGCACAAGGGTCCTGGTCCTGCATGGCCAGGGGCCAAGGCTGGGCCACAGTGTTGGCCACGCCCTCCCCACCCACGTCCTCATCCACTTGCTGTAATTGAGGCCAGAACCCACAGATAAGGCCAGGTCCTGGGGGATGTTTAGATGGGAAGTCTTCATGCCCTGGCAGGATGGCGCTGTAGGGCGAGGTTGAAGGGTCCAAAGTGGGCCTCTTGGGCATGTGGTGAGGATGGGGCATCTGGGGGGTTCAGGTGCAGCATGGGGCAGGGACAGGAGTCCAGGCCGGCCTCTGCTGTGTGGGATGGGGACAGGGGTCTGGTGGCCTCTCCTGGGTGGGGTGGAGACGTGGGTCTGGCAGCCTCTGCAGCGTTGGACGGGGACAGGAACCCAGCAGCGTCTGCTGGGTGAGGTGGGGACGGGTGGGTCCACCCTAGTCTCTGCTAGGTGAGATGGGGACGGGGGACTGGCAGCCTCTGCAGCGTGGGATGGGGATGGGGTTCTGGTTGCTTCTACTGGATGGGGCGGGGACAGGGGTCCACACTAGTCTCTGCAGTGTGGCATGGGGACAGGGTTCCCGAGGCCTCTGCAGTGTGGAATGCGAATGGGGGTCCACACTGGCCTCTGCTGGGTGGGGCGGGGACAGGGTCCACGCCGTCCTCTGCTGGGTGGGGCGGGGGCGGGGTCCACGCCGGCCTCTGCAGTGTGGAATGGGGATGGGGGTCCACGCCGGCCTCTGCTGGGTGGGGCGGGGACGGGGTCCAC